TACATGCCCTGCGGAATGTTTTTCAAAGTGTGGGGGGGGGGGGGGGCTATTACTAGATGTGTTTTTAACATAATTCTGTGGCAATTTGGATTGATTTTGATAATTCTTGGAATTCAAAACTGAATAATCAAAACAGGTAAAAATGTAGTATGAACAATTGTAAATGAATCCTAAAATACTCTCTTACTTTCCTTTTCATATTTAAATTCCATTTCGCAATACACATAATATATCTTGTTCTTGGTCATTTTGAAATTCAGTTTAGCCCGAAATATTAAAGTAGTTAAAAAGAAAATTATGACAAGTCTTGATTCTTGCATCATAATTAAAACAAAATGTGTTGCCCAATGGTTTGACTTTATTCTTATAATTTTGGGTAAACGTACCCTAAGACTAGTATTATTTTTTATATATTTGCTTTAACTTGGCAATGTGAACGTTAATACCCCGGTAAATCATGATGAAAACTAAACTGTACTGAAACCGTACTTTCTCTGATCTTGACATATTTCATGATTAAATTGTCATTGATTATCAATGAGGAACTTTAGGATGTCGGAAACATTTACTCAAATTTTATTGTTTTATGCAGGAAATCAAACTATGAATTCTTTTTTTTTTCGGTTTCCCAACAATATAGAGGGGACTTTTGAACCAAATCTGGACCCCTCTATAATTTTAAAGCCTCTCCTTCCAGAAATGTGTGTGAAATGGCATCCTCTTTCACATCATTATACACTGTACAATTTAAGTGAAATTTCGCCATAAAATTTTGGGCACCCAACACTTTAGAGGGGCTTTAAGGAAACGATTTATTTCGCATTATACGTTTGGAATACCTACAACCGAACTTGACTATAACATGCTCCATTATATTTTATTACCTGATAATTTTGCTCATTTATAATAAAGAATTACGGTCTTTCAATTTGTTGTGCCTAATCATATTGTTAAATCAATTTGTTATTTCTCGTAACCTCTCAAAACACTAATTTGACTTAACACGTGTAGCGTTTGTTGACACATTAAGTAATAACCAACACCGAACATAATTATGGTAACATTTGTTAAGTTATTTTAATATAAACTGTATAAACAAGTATGAACATGGTAAAATTACTCTGTGTAAACGCACCGTTTCCCTGATAATAAAACTTACAATAATACAACAGTTGATACACATACATCTGTTGTCATAGACTTTCAAGAACATTGAAGACACCCATGCATTCAATGTAAAAGACAAAACAGTACATATTAATAACATAATTGGCAGTAATGCTTATTTGGTTATTGAAAATTGAAAACATAAGAATATCTTATATGGCATCAAATGACAGTTGGTAAGACATTTGCTTCAGCAATGTGAGAGCTAAAAAATGCTAAACAATGTACATGTACAAACACTATATTTAAACACTTTGAAATACGATTCGTTTCCTTTGATCCATAATTGTGTATCAATATCATTTCAATACCTTCATTACAACATACTTGTATAACAAGAGGCCAATGGATCTTGCGTTTAACAGAGCCTGTGAAATTAGTGGCCCCGGTAATTATTATAGGGTACAGTTATCACTTGTGCCCTTGGGTGACTACAGGGGAAATGTACCAGATAAATATTTTGTTAATATCCCGATACATAAACATCTGGCACCACTACGTAGGCCTACAAGAGACCTTAAAGGGACTTGGTAACATCGTCCAGATGAGATATAGTAGTGCTAAGGTAGAGAATTCAATGCTAGATGTACAATTAAAGATAATCTGAAAATTTGAGTGAAAACGAACCATTATTCATGGTAAAAATTGAGGAAAACTGATCTGATCGATTCCTTAATTCTCCCAACTATATTATTACAATTTAATTACATTTTAGGTGAATGGAAATCGTAACAAAGCAATAAAATGGCTCTACATTCTATTCCAGACATTTAAGTGTTGACAGATTTTTTATAGCCTGTTTTGTGTCTTTTTTCATGGAAAAACGGTTGGGAAAATTCAAAAATGGTTGCGAGAATTTACTGTTAATCAATGTTAGAGGGTGTCATACATCGACGCCTTCAAAGAAAACCATAGATATCTTTGTGGTTTGAGAATTTTTTCAGGATTGTTTGCGTGTCAGAGGGTTAGTACAGAAGAAGGAATATAGTAAGTAACATTTTATACAAAAATTAAGCAATTTTTTCATCAACCTTCAACAATGTTACCAAGTCACTTTAAAGTAATACTTTTCCACAATTAAGATCCTTAGGGGAGCACTGCCCCTGAGCCCTCATGAGGGGCAATGTAATCAATACAACAAAAATCAGATCCCCTCTCTCTCAAATGTCAAATATTATTGGGTGCTGGCATTAAATTGTACAAGAAAAGGTTCAAGAGATAAACCGTCAGATGACGATATGGTTGAAAAGAACATCGACTCCCTTAGGAAGAGTTACCATTGTAAAATCTTTATTTATACCCAAATTGAACTACCTATTTTTATCTCTTCCTGAACCAAAATTAGAAATTATGAAGGATAACGATCGACGTTTTTTTGAATTTATATGGCATGGCAAACGTGATAAAATAAGTAGGAAACAAATGGGTCAATTGTACAATGAAGGCGGAGTTAAAGTGACTGACCTTTGTATGCATTGTAAATCACTTAAGATATCATGGATAAGAAGATTTATTTGTTCTGAAAGTTTCTCTCTTCATATGTTCCAATCATTCTTACCTCCACCGTATACATCTCTTCAGTTATTCATGGGGGCTGAATATTACAAAGAATTAGCCACTACAATACGAAACCCATTTTGGGAAGAAGTATTATCAGCCTTTTCAGACCTTACTCAATTCACTGTAAATGATATTGCATGTCAACCCCTTTGGAATAACCCTAAAATAAAAGTTAATGATAACGTAATTCATTATAAGTCTTGGTGCGCTAAGGGGGTACGTTTTGTTAACGATGTTTTAAAAACAGATGGATCATTTCTCTCATACTTTGATTTTCAACATAAATACAATGTACATGAAAACTTTCTTCAATATTATGGCTTTTGTAATGCTATTCGATTTGGTTTTAATAAAAATGTCATACCAAAGGTCATTGAACCTACATGTATCATCCCGGAAGCATTGTTATTAATAATAAAAGTGGAAAAAGGTTGTGCACATATATACCGTTCTTTATTGAAACATAATATAAAGGAATGTAAAAGTCTTACTAAGTGGAAACAGGAGTTTGGCCTTGACAATATTGTATGGAGTTCGTATTATTTTCTTCCCTTTAATTCAACTGTCGATGTTAACATGAGGTGGTTTCAGTTCAAGTTACTGAATAGAATTCTTTATATGAAAGATGCTTTAAGATTTAAATTAGTTACAGATAACTTATGTACATTCTGTAATAACAGTGTAGAAACGATTATACATATATTTTGTTACTGTATTCATACAACCGAAATATGGTCTAAACTCGAGTATTGGTTGTCCCGTAATAATGTACTTATTAAGTTTAGAAATCAAAATAAGTTGTTTGGGTTTCACGGTAATAATAACAGTGCCCTCAACTGTATTATGATTATAGTCAGGAAAGAAATTTTTGCAGCCAAATGTAAACAGTGTTTGCCAGTTTTTGAAAACATAATATCAGCGATAAAGTGTTATTATAACATGGAAAAGTATATATGTAAAACAAATCTGAAAGAACAGAAATTTGTGAAAAAGTGGTTACTTTTTGCAAAGTGTTTCTGATTGTTTATTTCTGTCTAAAATCATTTTGCCAACTAAATCTGTGATATTTATTTTAAATAGTGAACTTCAATTTGTAACTGATACCGGTATCTATAAATGTATTTTCTTATCATATTTTGAATGGCCAGGAATATTATTTTGAATTTCTGCATGTAAAAACCAATTCTTGTATACATAATAATGTGAACGATATTATTTAATAAAGGATCCCTGTGGAAGGGAAAAAAAAAAATTTAAATTGTACAGTCAAAGTAAATAAATCACTATATAGGACAATTTGGGGGATTGAAACATCTCCTATGAGTGATCCCTGCCAAATTTGATTGAATTCCATTGTGTATTTTTTTAAAGGGGAAAATGTCACTCTTTCACAAATTGAACAATCAACCTTGATCTTTGACATCAATGGCCATATTTAATCCAGTAATCTTTACATGATCACACATATGAATGCTAAGTGTCGTCAAGATACCAAATTCATTTCTTAGTCAGTATGGTACTAAGATTAATTACGTATAGACAGATAGATAAACATAATGCTTCCTGCTGTACTATGTGTGGGATGTATAAAAGTAAAGTTTATCTATAGTACAGACCAAAAATACATCTATATAATTCTCATGATATTAATAAGAACCTAGTATATACAGCTATTTTAGATTTCTACCCTTCTTCGATCACAATCCAACTGTTCAAATTTTACAGCAATGTTTTAACTTTCATATGACGCACGTGGGGAACCTCGCTCTGTTGACAAATTTGTCGCATCTGTATTCTTTTATTAATAATAGTATATTTTCCAAAAATCTCATTTCAATATGATATTCAGTATTAAACCCCCTTCATAATTTGTATGTCATAAAAAACGCACAATATATAAATTTATGTAGCACTCGCCGCTACTCCGTAACAACTACCGGCAACTCGTTTCTTCAGGCGCGTTTCCGGGTACCCCTCGAGCAACCAAAAATGAAATTCACGAACAAATTCGCAACAAAATTTGCGATAAAATATGTGACTTTTCGCATATTTCATTGCGATTTTGTTCGCAAATTTCACAACAGAGTTCACGATTCGCGATCTCCCTTCTGGGCCACCATACAATTGCCTACATTTTGCAGATATACATCTTTTTTGCAGGGGACTTTTTTACTATGATATTTTTTTAACACTAACGTTAAAAGTCGGAATGGGGAAAAAGGGCTCAAAAAATATTTCCCACCTATCTCAGAACTCATGTTTCTCTTCAATTATTAATTCCCCTCTTCTGGTAGTAGGGTGCTCACAAGGTTAATCTGATTAGCCCTAACTAGAGCAGCACTAAGTAGAGCACGTTCCTGCAATTTATGAACCCCTTTGCGCCATGTTCTCAGCATGTCGAGGGTACCTCTCCAAGTGACGCCATTGTTTTTCCGGATGAAGCGTTCAGCATCTGACACGCTGAGTTTCAGTTCCGAAGCAAGGCTGTCGATTTCTTCATCCTTACTCATAGACCTGGCCACTCTCTGCAAGATCTTGTCAAATTCATCATTTACTCCACTGCAAATATAAAGAAATACATAATGAAAATTGAAAAACAGAAATCATTCAGAATATTCAAGAAGTCATCTAAAAAAGCCTCATGCATTGACTACAACCATTTCCATTCATAACTTATACAGGATCATAGATAAAATTGTTGTCGTCTTATTTGTAAATTTAGGGATTTTTTTCAATCTTGAATTAAAAAAAAAAGAGTCGTATACCTTTATCTACCACTTTCGTTTACAGAATTTTGTAATATTAATAATAGTTCAGAATGCTAGAAATTACACTTTTTATATGTGAGCAGAAAGAGCAAATATCACAGAAAGTTTTGAGCCCATTTCTAATGTGTGAGTTTGTGAATAAAAACAGTATAGTTGTAAATTATAGTCGTTCAAGTCTCTAAAATGGGAACAAGGATTAAAATATATATACCACAAATTGGTCAACTTTTACTAGATTTGATCATAGAATTCTTATTCCATCGATTCATTTAATATGCATTCTTATTTTGTTAGCCATATAGAAGTAGAAAAGGGGAATCATTGGTGCCAATTTGGGGAAGAAAAGATGATTTTCTTTTAAGACGTTTAAACAACTTTAAACTGCCGTGGGTTAAGAGTTAAAACATCCAACCTGTATTCATCATCACTAACCTTGCCGATCCTTCATCTGCCCTGGCATCCGGAGAAGAACCCGATGTGTCACCACCTATTGTAGAAATGATTTGATTCGATTGTATTTGATTAAGTTTGAATTTATCAGGGTGGCCCTATTGGTAACTGTGATACCACCTTCTTCCTTGGGGCAGTGGGGGGGGGGGGGGGGGGGGGGGGGGGGGGGGGGGGGGGCTACCCAGCTGAAATGACAACACACATTCAATTGACAACAACATGATACATATAATTAACAAATATATACTTGTAACATGAGTAATAAAATAGGGATTAATCGAGATATCATTTCCTTTTTTGAAGAGTAGAAAAATGTCGAAATTCTAAACACATTGAATTATTATTCAACATACTAAGCACTGCAGATTCGTTGGAAATCAAAATCGCTGAATACAAAAATGGGTAAGAGCTGAGGACTACTGAGGCAGGAAAGCTTCGTCCAAACTCTTAATTTTCTGCTATTTCTATTCATATTTTAAATATTAGTATGATGAGGGCATTTGGAGACCAACCCTCTTCATCAATGTATGTGCCAAAGTGACATAAATAGAATGAGAAAATGCACAAAATATTTTTCATATTTACCAGAACTAATCAAATATCTATTATTATTATATATTCCTTCTATAATATCAATCACCTGAGAAGACAACGTCGAAAAGAAGATTGCCCCTCTTTTTAGTCCCCTCAGTTACAGAGAGGTTAACCGAAGCGAACTGTTCCACGTGTTCAGAGAAGTTCAGCCTGAAGTCGACAGTATTTTGGATCAATTGCCTGATGTCACTGAACAGAATTGTCCGCTGTTCAAAAGTAAAAATTATTTCATTATTGTAAAAGAAATGATGATTATAATGATAATGGTAATAATAATAATTTTAATGATAATAATAATAATGATAGTGATAATTATATGTTCATAATATTCATAATATAGTTTACACATGGAAGCCGTTCTTTAAAATTGAGGGCCCTGCAATTACTACCCCAGCAATTGCTAGCTACCCATTTACACCTGGGTGGAGAGTGGCAGATGTGGATTAGTGTTTTGCCAAACGACGTTAGCACCAGACTGGGATTAAGAGTAAAGAGTCAAGTGAATGAACCTGTATACTACTACACCTCTAAAATCATATTCTTAAAAAGTTCATAGCAAAGCTATCAATGTATTACCATTAACTGCATTACACTTCACTGTGGATATTTCCTTTTTTGTGTGATGCAGGGACATTATCAAAGGATTGATGTATTCTAAGGGTTATTGCCTACTCATATCTTCTTCTTGCAAAATAAAATGTAGACAAGTCTAAAACATATGGAATGCCTTGTTGTTGATGGTAGCTCAAGGTGGAGAACTAATTTAATTGTGTTTTACCCTTATCAGCAAAGAAAATGAATACCGGTAAATAAAACTAAATAAACAGACAAGCAAACAGGCAATCAAACAAACAAAAAACTCTGAGGAACGTTTTGTTTTGTTTAGTTTCGTGTTTTTATATGAGAATGTATGGGCCTATTATTTTAGACAATTGGTAAGCATTATCTCCTTTTCAATTAGTAGAGACATTTTTTGTAGTATCTTTTGATACAGAATCACAAATTATAATAGAGAAGAAAGACCAAATATCAGAGAAGATCCTTATTTGATTTTAATGCAGTATATTTCGCTGTCCATGAATGAGAACTATTTAATAGTAAATAATGATCAAGTCTCTAAACTGGCAACATGGTGTGAAATTTATAATGACCATATCTGTTTGTGTACAATTTGGTAATTTCCTGTTGATTTCTTTTTAAGTATTAAAGGGATCCGGTAACTTTGTCTCTGATTCTGAAACAAAATTCTGGATTTAGCTCATGATGCAATGATAATTATAAACCTTTAGGTCAGTCAGGAGCCCCATGAATTTAACAAGCCGATCGCCTGTCTGATTATCAAGATATTTATGATTGGAATTACAAATTTTGAAAACCGTTCGCCTGACGGTTTTCATAACACTACAGTCTATTGGGGAAAATGAGTATGGTAAAACCGGTCACTCAAAGATTTTTACTTTTTTGAGGCACTTCTTGATCATTTTGAAGCGCAATTTTTTTAGGGCTTCAATATTACACCATATCACAGACACTGGTAACACTTAGGGCCGTGTATCTCAGATTTAACATTGTTAAACGATCCCTTTAATATTGATACTTTTGATATACATTTTTTTTTAAATCATGAATATGTAAATAGGGATACTTGTTGAAAATTTGACCAGGGAAGCTAATTTATTGATTTTATTTATTTATATAGACTTCATGAAAACTTTGAACTGCAATGGGTTGAAATGATTATATGGGTAAAGAGCTATAAGTAGGCATCTACCAGACTCTGCTTGGGCGTGTTGTCATGGTCGTTGCTTCCATCCATACCGTAAGTGACATCTAGGTCGTTTCTCGCCTTGAGTTCAATCTTAGGACGAGCCATGCGGAAGTCACATTTAGATTCATCCTTTTCAATCTCCTTTAAAATACATGAACATTATCAACATCTAAGATAACATGAATTATCGTGCTCAATAACACGTTTCTAGGGGGCATATAGTAATTATATTTAGTTTGGTTTTAAAGCAGGAGAACAAATAAAAAAACATATCACTGAAAGTTTGAGCAAAATCCGATAAAAATAGGAAAGCTTTTGTTGAAGTTGTTATCAATTAAATACTAATTGGCAACTTTGTGATAAATCTTGCGAGGTCCTCTCGGTAGCCATAGAGGAAATTTCTATTTTCTTAGTTGTTGATGAAGGAATTTGTTTTATTTCCAAAGATAGGTTGTGTAGAATCATAATAATAATAATAACAATAATTATAAAATGGTGCTTAGAGAAAATAAAAATATATCAATAAAAATATATTTTAGTACAAACCAAAGGAGAGTCACCTCGCATGATACATCCTGATACGTTACAAAGTTTTGTTTGATTAAAACTCTTAAATCCATAATTTCTTTGTTTATTGATCGGATTTTCCTAAAACTTTCACTTATCTGTTTCTTTCTTTATTCTGCTTCTATAGAATTTAAATCCATACCAGGGTGGACTTCCCCTTCAACTATTTGGCTAGACAATAATAATCATTGCACCGAAGAGGGCTAAGAAGGTAGCACCATTAGTGATAATATTACAATGAAATGGAAAACTTGATTTGATTGGCTGCTGAGTAATGTTGCCATGGTAGTTAATTTTGATGGCAAAGTTAACAAATGAAAAAAAGAAATGAAACAAATACTTTAAAAATGAAAAAAGGCCGAAGCTTTAAAATACATAAAATGTCAAAACGTCAAGAGGTTTAAAATCATTGTTTTGATCAATATTAGCCATTTTTCAACTTTTTGTTGAAAATTACCCATGTTTATTGATTTCAGGGACATTATGTAGCAATAAAAGGCAAATATCCAATGTTGCCAATTTGAAGAACACGATGTGATCAATATTTGGCCCTTAAAGGATTCTAGTCTTGAAAGGGATAACAATGATTTGAAGGAATAAATGATTCAAGCTACCTCGGGATTGCCTTTAACGATGTCGAAGAGATACACCCTTAAGATTGGTTTCTTCGTAGGGGGCATCTGTTTGGGTACGAAGGGCAAGCATCCCAACCGCTTGCCTTTCACAAAGGGATTGCGAATCTTCAGGACTGGCCATAGAAATGAAAAGTGGTCAATGAAGACGGTTATCTCCTTTTCATCCACTTCGCACCTTGGAAGTCTATTTTCTGACGGCGGGATGTAAGTGATAGTACTGATCTCCACATCTCCTAAGAATAAGTACATGGAAGTGCCAAGCATTTAAACATCATCATCAAGATATAAACCAAATGAAATCCTTGATCATTGGCAGAAAGGCAAACATTCATGTTGGCAGGAGCATTTCTATGGGGTTCGGGGGCTCAGTTCCCCCTACTAGACGTGGGAAGGAGTAGTTGTACTAGAAGTAGAAGTAGTACTAGTAGTAGTTGTATTAGTAGTAGTAGTGTAGTAGTAGTAGTAGTAGTAGAAAACAAAATCTTATAAAAACGGCTCCTGCATTTTGTGTTAAACAAAAGACAAAATCTATATATGCAACTGAAATGTCGTTTTATATGCATACTGAATAATGATAAGTAGGCGGCGATAACCTTACCTCAAACTGACTTCAACCTGACTTCAACTTGACCAAATATTCTTGACCATTCAAAGAAGTTAATTTTGTTTGTTTTTGTTTTGTTTTGGGTCTATTTTTGGTTCATTGTCAGTCTCGTTGGTGTGACAGGGGTATTACATGCATGCTTACAAACATAGTCAATCAATCCCTTTCCACAGGTACTTTCCCCAACGGAGCACACTCAGCAATAATTAGACCACTTTTTAAGAAACCAGGATTGAACCAAGATGACCTTAGAAATTATAGACCAGTGTCAAACTTAACATATTTAGGTAAAATCATTGAGAAAGCAGCATGTACACAATTAGTTCATCACATTGAATTTAACTATCTTTCTGATTATTTTCAATCTGCTTAGTCATGTCAGAGTACCGGGTCAGCTCTAATTAAAGTAAAAAACGATATAATGTTTGCTCTTGATACAAACCAGGTAGTTCAAATGGCACTGTTAGATCTATCAGCCGCATTGGATAGATCGATCATCAAATATTTATATCCCGTTTATTCAAAAGAACAGGTGTTAGGTCAACAGTTTTGTCCTGGTTTCAGTCATACCTCTCCGGATGGTCTTCCCAAGTTGACATAGCCGACAAATTGTCAAACCTCACAACCATAGAATTTGGACTCCCCCAGGGTTCAATAGTAGGACCCATAGGATACTCAATTTATACTCTTCCTATTGGAGATATCGTCCGGCATCATAGCATTAATTATCATATTTATGCTGATGACATATAGTTATATGTTTTCTTTGATCCTAAGACTCCAGGAGCTCTTGATAGCGCACTTATCAAACTTGTATTTCAGATATTAGGCAATGGATGGTAGTAAATAAGTTAAAATTAAATGATTCAAAGCCCTGATTTTGTTTGTCTTCCAGATGTTCAGTTGGATGTTGGTGGCACACTCATTAGCCCTTCAAAAAACAATAAGAAACCTTGGCGTTGTATTTGATTCTTGCATGTAGATGTCTCACCATATTTCTCACATCTGTAGTATGGCTACGTTTTATTTAAGGAATATTGCTAGAATCAGAAGGTTTATTGACCAGTCTGCCTGTCATAATGCTGTGCGTTCTTTAGTTCTATCCCGTATTGATTATTGTAATGGGCTTCTCTCTACCATTCCCTCGACTAAATTGATTTTTGTGCAACGGCTACAACCATGGGCAGCCAAATTGATATTTCAGGTTTCTAGGGACCATCCATCTCAGCCACTCTTGATATCACTGGCTTCCTTTGAAACAAAGAATAATTTTTAAATTACTCTTGTTTGTATTCAAAATATTCAATAATCAAGCTCCACAATATTTAGATACCTGTTTGAATTTATATACACCTGCCAGGGCATCGAGGTCAGCCAGTGATCCTCTCCGTCTCACATATTCAATTACCCGCACATTAGCCGGTGCTAGGACATTTACTGTATCTGCTTCAAAATGTTGGAATGATCTGCCACTTAGAATCAGGCAGTCTCCATCAGTTATTACCTTCAGAAAGGCCTTAAAAACACATCTTTTTTGCAGTTTGTAGTTGTAAGACTGTTTTTTCTAATTATATGTATTTATGTAATTTTTATTTTCATTCACTGTAAGCGTTTTGGGCCTTATGGGAAAAGCGCGGTATAAGTAATAATAATAATAATAATAATAATAACAATGGAAGCACATGACATGGAAAGAAGATCTTCTTACCTGTATCATGCCACAGCTCACCATGGTAGATCCCTGTCGCGACTTTCGAAGGGTCATCAAGAATGGCACAATGTGGAAGGGTCACTCTGACGGGTACTGCGAATCTGAAACCTGGTGAATTCGGAATAGTGCACTGGAATCCGAAGCTGCAAACCATCTCATCCTCTTGGAAGTGTGTGGATGGAGGATTGGTTAACGCCTGGAGACCAATTTTGATTTCCCCTTCTCCCTGTATGGCCCCTTCTGGCACACAAAGCGTAATGTCGTGTGTCTCAAGTCTTAGCTCCCCTCCTAGCTTGCCAAATGATTTGCTGATAGGTTTAGAGGTAGGTTTCCGCATGAACTGATCAGAAATGGCAAGAATACAGCTTACGCCACTTGCAACAGAAGAGAAGTATTGAAGTTGTGTACATGTCCTTACTATTTCAAGTATTTCTGTTCTTTCTAAAGAACCGCACTCATCTGTCTCAAGTTTACTTATCCTAGGGAACTTATTCACAATAGTCAGGAGGTCTTTGAAAGCTTTCAAGGGTGTTGACTGCTTCAAATAAAGCTTTTCAGTCGGCATTTGCCCTGTCTTGGTCCAGTTTAGGAGTTGGTAGATTTGGTGTTCAGCTGCTATATTCTGGACAATGAAATTTGTTATGCTTTTGAAAGCTTTGAATACCAGTTCGTTTAGACATGCGAAAGGTATTACATTGACTGGAATGATTTCCAGGTGAGACAGAGCAGATTTAGAGAATTCCATCTTACTTTCCGTTTCAACATTTACGTTGCACTGCGATATTCGAAGAAACAGGAGATTGGGCAGTTGTTCGACGACAAATTTAAAAAAGGTTAGCAGGCAAAGAGATCCCATAAACTGTTCTAAACACAACCTACGAAGTTTTGGGAGGAAGCTATTGGGAAGCGGTTGCATGTACCCCAAAATATTAAGCCTGGTTTGGTCATCTCCATTCAACGTCAGATCAGATATTTTGGGAAAGATGGAGGAAACAATCGTTAGCAGAGCTCTAAATGGGAGGTCAGTCGTCTGACGACATCGAATGTATATTTCTATTTCGGGTGAATCCTCCTCATCACTCTCATCGACGGACATTGTGGAGTCGCTCTCAAGGACTGATTCCTCTGAAATGAACACTGGTACGTTTGCATGTAGTCTTAGAGTACGTAATTTTGGACAGGATCGAGCTACAAAATACATAACTTCTGCCAAGGGCAAGTTCGATTGTTGGAGATCAAGAATGGTTCTATTTTGGTCTGCATCCCAAGCCCATGATGTTATTGGCGGTTGGTATCGTGGTTCCTCTGCTAGTTCAGGATGGTACTGGAGTTCCTGTTCCTTGAGAAATGCTGTAAGATCTAAATAAATTGTGACAATGGTTTCTTAATTTATTTGCCTTTAATGTGTTTTCTAGATGTTCTTAATTTTACGACTACGATATTCACTTTTCCTTTATTTATTTGGACCCCAAGGAAGAACAGTTTTGTCTTGTTAAAGAAGCTGAGTGGGCTATCCAGCTTTTCACAATATTCTTGATTTAAATGTACTTTTTAACTTCCAATATATTGTTTTTATATCATGATTTAGAAAAATAAATACCATACCATACCAATTATCAGATATCTAATGAGGAAATGAGAGTTTTGGTTTCTCAAACAAAACGTTTATATATATGATGGCAGTGATGCATCAACACCAGTATCGGTCAAAAAAAAGTAATGAATGTTTTTATCTTCATCCTGATGTTATGTTCCAGCAGGAAGTCCAAGAGGCCCCTTTGAAGCCATCCGTGGCACCGCGCGTCTTTTGTTTCCTCTACCGTAATCCCCTTAATCCCTCTCCGAAACCATACAGCTCCCGTTCCACCCACAGCCCAGGCCAGCGAACACGGCGGCTTATGCGTTGCCGGCCGGTACTTGGGGTGAAAAGTGGTGATGAATTGACAACTTCTAACCATCGTCCATCAAATGCGCAAACATATAACACAATTTCATTTAGTTCTTTAGGGAGATTAACCTTTGGATTAACCTCCTAGCTATATACAAATTTCGGAAATTTTCGGAAAATGTCAATAATTAGATGAGAAAATCATGATGATGAAAACCTTACATTCGCTCCAACTCACGATTTCCTTGGTCGATTTTGCTGCTCGAAATGGTTTCGTCTTCAGTAGAGCTACCGAGCACCAAAACAGCATTTGATAACCAAAATAAAGTTTCATTGGTCATATGTCGGTAATTCTGTATTTTATATGTTATAGCTAAATACATCTTCGCTGAACATGACCTAATTTTTCGGAGCCACGCATGTCTTCAAAGCTCGATGCCTGCATATTTTTACGACCGAGTGAATAGAGAACTTCGGGAAACAGACGGCGTTGCGTAACATTGCGTAATATTTGGAATAAACTAGAGGGGAACTGTGCATTGATAAGGACAGCTGTAGATGGATTTGATGGCTGGAGAGGGTTACATTTCTTTTTGTTAAGCCAAGTTAATCTTGAATATCTTTTCCTCGGGAAATTCTTTCGAGACGGAGTCTCCATTCATTACAGCTTCCTGGTTCCAGGAAGGACCTCGGGTCCCGCGGATTAAAATACGAGGATCTGCTCTGTAATGGCGTGTGTGTGTGTGTATGTGTGTTACTCTTTGTGTGTATAACATATACACGCGCGCACACACAAAGCAAAGTATATATTCAAAATTAAAATACTCGCTCTTTTTTATTAATTATACTTTTCTGAAAAGTTGTTTTTGCGAGCGAGAGTTCATGAAATTCCCCGCCCCCGTATCCAAATATGACTGGATAATGTGGATATCCATTATATGTTATGCAGAGTCCATGAACTGATCATCGAAGTGAAAGTGTTTATGTATACTGCATTCACTAGACTCTTAGTCCAAGGATGGAGGGTTTGAATCCCAGCTCGGCTCTTAAGTCCTTCAGCAATTACAGATTAATCCACATTTGCCACTCTCGGTGTAAATAGGCACATGGCAATTACTGGCGTAATAATGATTGCGGGGCCTTCAGGAGAACAGCTTTAATGCTGATATGGCTTCCCAAATAAACAAAATTATTATTGTGAATTAGTATTGTCAGTATTACCTTCATGTGATTCAGGTGCTTTCACGTTGATAGTCAATACTTTTGCATCAAGTAAATTAGCACTTAACTCTTCCGTAAAACCGAAGCCATTTACCTAGCATAAAAAGAAAGAAAAACGACAACAATCAAACACACATTAAACACAAATAATTAAGAAAAATGAAAGATAATCAATTGAATATAACTAGTCTTTAAACAAGATCTAAAAGACTTTTGAGAAATCAATTTCGATAGCCCATTGCATCCCCCCTCGGACATTGTATTATCGCGGTCAGCTCAGAGAATTAAATTTTTTTAAAAATGCACGGTAAACATGGTAAACATGATCATATTACGCTACATAAATTGAATGTTATTATTATCATCATGATTAATACTACTACCACTACTACTACTACTACTAATACTACGATATATTACTTCTAGTTCTCCTACCTCTACTACTACTATTATAGTAATATACTTGTAGTAGTTTTATCATTATTACTATCATCAATAATAGAAGACGGTTGGTAGTAGTAGAAGTAGTACTAGTAGTATCAGTAGTAGTTGTATCAGTTAAAGTAGTAGTAGGAGTTGTAGTATATAGTAGAAGTAGTTGCATTAGTAATAGAACTAGTATAAGTAGAAGCAGAAGTATCAGTACTAGAAGTGGTAGTATTATCAGTAGTAGTAGTAGTATCAGTAGTAGTATTAGTAGTAGTATCATTAGCAGAAGTAGTATTAGTAGGAGTGTTTGTAGTAGTTATGGTAGTAGAAGTAGTAGTAGTAGTAGTGGTATCAGTAGTAGTAGCAGTAGTACTACTAGTAGTCGTAGTAGAAGTAGGAGTAATTGTAGTAGTATAAGTAGTAGTAGTAGTAGTAGTAGTAGTAGTCGTACCAGAAGTAATAGTAGTAGGAGTGTTTGTAGGAGTTTTTGTAGAAGTAGCAGTAGTGATAATAGTAGTAGAAGTATAGTAGTAGTAGTCGTAGTAGAAGTAGGAGTAATTGTAGTAGTATAAGTAGTAGTAGTAGTTGTAGTAATTGTAGAAGTAGTATCAATATTAATAATTGTAGATGCAGTAGTAGAAGTATAAGTAGTTGCATTCGTAGTAGGAGTAGAAGTAGTTGTATCAGTAGTAGAATCACTAGTATCAGTAGTAGTACACTGTTGGAATTTTGGAAGTTTAAAGTTGGAATTTTTTGTTTACCCCAATTTATGGAATTATTTTGACAATGATGTATTCCTAATAGATCTAGATAGTAGTATACATTCTCAGATTTTATTAAATAATAATTTGCCAGTGTTTGTTTTGCGTGACTGCTAAAGAATGTGTATGCTACTATGCTTATCAACTAGGGGACCTACGCCCTAACGTCATAAATGACATTAATGAGGATTAATGCCCCGCAAATGGACACTAATATTACACATACATCGACACGTGGTTTTAATCCTGGGGCCTCACAGTTAAGAGGCCATTGCTTTGCCACTGAACCATGACTGTACGCAGTGGGGGCTGCCAGTACTGATTATTATAAATTACCAAATGCTTAAATATAGCCCCGGCATAGCACCTGAAGAGCTCTCCGAACGCTGCTGAGATGTGTGAGATCACAGTATGGACATAATTTGTACAAGCAGACGATGTCCCATGACATCTCACACATTTTCAGTGCCTGTGTTTTCATCTTCTCTTGAGTTCTTTCTCTTACTTCACTACCGTCAGGCTAAATGTATAATCTATTGCCTCACTGTAAACCCCGCACATGGTTTTATTTTGATGACAAATGCAGCGATACAAAAATAAAGGAATCAGTCGCTTGTAAACAAAATAAGACGCCAGTGTATTTTCAGCTGCACACACCGCGGTATGTTCGGCGTTTCGAGAGGGAACAAATGCCGTCCTTAATATCATTCCATGGGGTTTTCAATTATAAGTAGTTGCATTAGTAGTAGAGTTAGTAGTAGTATCAGTAGTAGTAGTGGTAGTAGTAGTAGTAGCAGTAGTGGTAGTACTGATGGTTGTGGTATTAGTAGTAGAAGAAGTAGTAGTAGTAGTAGTAGTTGTAGTAGTAGTAGTAGCAGTAGTGGTAGTACTGATGGTTGTGGTAGTAGTAGTAGAAGTAGTAGTAGTAGTAGTAGTAGTAGTAGTATTAAAAGAACTACTACTAATAGTACTACTACTACTACTACTACTACTTATACTGCTACAATTACTTCCACTGCTACTACTACTACTACTACTTCTACTACTACTTCTTCTACTACTGCTACAACTTCTACTACTACTACTACTACTCCACCTACTCCTCTTTCAACAACAACTTCTAATATTACTACTAATGCTCCTACATCTACTATTACTATTATTGATACTACTACTACTACTACTACTACTAATTATATTACTTATAATACTACAGTTACTACTATTTCTACTACTACTACTACTACTACTACTACTACTTCTATTACTACTATTAATACTACTGATACTACTACTCCTACTAATACAAATACTTCTTTTAATACTATTACTACTACTACTACTACTACTACTACTACTACTACTTCTACTACTACTACTACTACAACCATCAGTACTACCACTACTGCTACTTCTACTACTACAACTACTACTACTGATACTACTACTAACTCTACTACTAATGCAACTACTTATACT